TTTCATCTGGTCATCCTCCATCTTCTCACAATACTTTTTCCTCATAGCACTAAATAGTACCTGCCCTTATATTAAGTGCCTATTTATTATTTACCTCTTTCCCTGGAATGTAAACTCCATGAGGACAGGAATGCAGTTTCATTTATTACTATAACCCTAGAGTAGAGAACCAGGCCTGGCCACATAGTAGATGCTAGTGTTTGTTTCCTAGGGCTGCTATAACAAATACCATACACAACTGGCTTAAAACAATGGAATTTTATTCTCTCAGTTTAGGTGGCCAAAAGTCCCAAACCAAGGTGTCAGCAGGATTGGTTCTTTTTGGAGGCTCTGTGGGTGACCCATCTTTCCTACTGCTCTCTTAGCCTGGCTTAATCTTCACTTATTTGCTTATGTGGAAGAACCCCCAACACAGACCAGATGCGTAGTGAGGACAGAGTCTTCTGTTGAGTTCACTGTGCCAGGTATATAGACAAAGAAAATGCCTCTTGGCATCCGGCAGTGGGTGGCAATCCTTGGTGTTTCCTGGCTCATAGCGCATCATTTCAGCCATCATTTCATCCATCTTCATGGATGCGCTTCATAGCGCATCATTTCATCCATCTTCACATGGCCTTCTCCTCAGTGTCTCTGTGTGTCCTTTTCCGTCTCCTAGAAGGATCATCTCTTTGGATTTAGGGCGACCCTATTCCAATATGATTTCACTGTAACAAATTATATCTGTAAAGACTTTCCACAGAAGGAAGGTGACATCCTGAGGTTCTGGGTGGACATTAGTTTGGTGGGAAGTGGTGGGGTAATACTAACCTACTACAGTGCTCAGTAAATATTTACTGGGTGAATGAAAATTCAGAGTGTAATTCTAAGCTGTAAACTCCTTGGACATTTTCATCACAGTCTTCTGTTAGTAATTGCTGCAGAAGGTAAGGATTAGTTTGCGGTCCCAGATTTCTTAGGCTCCAATTCTGCTTCTACCACTTTCTAGTTCTGAAATCTTAGGCAAGCTCTTTAACTTTGTGAGCCTCAGTTTCTTCTTCTGTAAAATGGTGACAATAAGAATTAACAAAGTGCCCAGTAAGTTTTAACTGTTAATTATGTGTCTGTAACTATTTTAAAGCATGTTCTATATGTAATCCTCATAATATATGAGGTGAGCCTATTACACTTCTCATTTTATGACAAAGGAAACTAGATTTGTTTCAAGAATTAAAAACCTAGAAAATTTTATGTCACTTTATGAAGTGCCTGGCACATAGTACATAGACCAGCTGAGCTGCAATAATATAGATAAGTGACTACCTCATATCTTTAAGACTTCCCAAATTGATGCACAAATCAGAAAAAAAAAATCTGTTGTGAAGTGAGGCATCTTACTTTTTGCACATATGGTCACTGTCATTGACGGGCTCCATCCCTGGGAGGACTAGGTAAGATGCTGGCCAAATGTAGGGGCATATTGAGGCAGTGAAATTGCAAATTGCAGTAGAGGACCCCTCTGTTGTACTAGATGTGTGAGAGGGCTAAAAATAAAATTCCTTTGACATTTCTTATGGGTCAGTTATTATCTCCTTCCCAATGACTACTATGGCATATTAGAATTGGGGGTTGATGTCCCAGAAATGTTATGTACAGCAAACAACATCTACATGAATATATCAATGGGCTAGAGTGTATTATGGTAAATATGGGTATGTTCTTTTCCCCCTTTTGACTAAACTCTCCCCTCTCTGCAACAGGTAAATTTCCAGTTTACCTGTTTCTTGCTGTTTTTATTTTTATTTTTGGAAGGCTTTGCATCTTTATATGTCAGCTGAAAATATTACATTCTAACTCCCCAAAGGTATTTTCACATTATTTGCAAGTATTTTTTTATAGTTTACATGTTTGTGTATTTGTTTAATACACTCCATAAAGGCTGAACGCCTTGGTGAGGGCAGGAGCTCTGTCTAGATTGTTCATCTGGCAGCCAGCAAACCCAAAATAAGTATAAGTTGAATGAATAGCTAGATGAGCCATGGTGTAGCCTGTCGTAGCAACGGCTTGCATGTTATCATCTTGGGATGCTACTTGCTTCTCCAAGATCTCTTTCTTGTTCTTAAATTATCTTCAGTTGTAGTACTAAGTACTAATATGGTCTGTAATGTGATATATGACCAAAGTTTGCTCTGTAAAATCACCCTTTCCTGAGGTATATTCAATACCTTTAATGTTTCTATAAATCTCTTCAAGGTTTGTGTGTTTTTCTTTTGAATTCTCTAGTTGGATGTATGCTTGAAGTGCTAGATAAAGAAAGTTTCAGTAGGCTAAAAATGTTTCTTTTCTGTAAAATTATTTAAAGAAACTAGATGATGGTTGGCACTTGAAATGCAAATGTAGCTAGCATTTTTTAAAGAATAATTCAAATAGGTCATTAAAGATTACTATGAGCACACTGCGTATTCAAATCAGTTTGAATATGTTTTGAGACTTCTAATAGTTTTGTGATTCTTTACATTTTAAAAGTTTATTACAAAGAATATAAATGATCTTTTCCCTCGTTTTTTATATCATTACTCTCATGCAAAGAATACCTCAGCTATTCATTCTGGTGCTGTTGGTAACTAGAACTCATTGGGTTTTCTTGCTAAAAGGAAGTTTAACAAATGTTTATTTAGTTGTCAGAGGAACTAAAAGTGGGAAAGTGAGGGAGACTGATCCACCCTGTCTATCTCAAATCCACTGACTTAAGTACTTGAATTTCATAGTCCCTGTAGCACCTCCACCAGAGGGCAGAAAGTGGAAGAGAAAGGAGATGAAATAGAAACTTGCACTTGGCTTCAGAATGCCTGCAGAAACCTCAGCAATTGAACCCAACCCTCACGTTACATTGTGAGTTAACTGTGCCCCCAAAAGGCTATGTGATTTGCTCACGGTGGAGCTGTCAGATGAATCTCCTAGGTTCTTGATTCCCAGACTGGCAGTGATGGTGTGTGATGAGGTAGTATCTTAGTAAGAATACAATCCAGAAGGCACTTCTACTCAGCTACTTGCTAGCTTGTGTAGGCTGGTTATTTCAACTCCCTGGATCTGCTTTCTTATCTCTAAAAGACAATAATAGCATCTTCCTCACAGTAGTTGGTGGAACTAAAAGAATACATGTAAAGTGCTTAGTATCACACCTGCCACACACAGCTGAATTACTGTGAATTATGATAAATTTGTCAGATACTGGTTTACGAATCTGATGTTAGAGTAACATGGAATCAGTGTTTCAGTTATTGTACTATATATATGCAATATTTTCTATATTTGATCTCATTTCAGAAACAAAATACTGATTCCCCCATTTTACAAATGCATAGTGTTTTTTCTCACAATAATATTCAAGAATAAGTGCACATATTTTGTTGTCTTATACATGGCTTTCTTTAAATAATGGGGATGGATTTATTCAATAACCTCATGAGTAATTTTTGAAATTTCCATTAAGATCTTGATTGAAATTGGATGAAAAATCATTTCTAAGAAAAAACTCAATGAAGTGTCTTTCTTTGCCACATTTGATAATTGCGTTGGACTTGGTAAAGTAATCATTACCAGGGCGAGTATCTCCAGTGCCTTCCTTGATGCTGCCTTAGAAAAGGTAGCTGCTTCTGAATGACAGAAAGGCAAGAATTTGTTTGCCTTTTAGGTTCAGCCTGTAGGTGTTCTCTGCAGGAAATCAGGAACTAGGTTATTGGAAACAGTTAAGGTGGAGTTCTCCCTTGTCTCTGCAGCCCCAGCAAAGACTCCGGCAGTCTGGCAAAAGCAGTCTCTTCAGCATACCTAACAGAAGGCAAGTTTCCATATGCCTGATGCAAATAACGCTCACCCTTTAAAAATTAAACCTTTTTTGAGATAAACTTGGTCTTTAATTGCTAGTGCCTGCAGTTAATTTTGATTTTTTTATTGGCTACATTCTGGTTAAAAGAAAATGTTCTAGGATGTGATATGGAAAATTTGGAGAAAAGTAACTCTTTTGCTCCCACTCTTCCACAACTTAAATGAATCAGTCCTGTCCTTTTCTGCTGCCCTCGTGGAGTGTAAGATTTTGGAGGAGACCAGCAGAAACTGGCTTTCCATATGCCCCTGAAGAATTAACTTCTTTGAACGCAAAGAGGTGAGGACATGGAGGATCTGTCATTAAGGGTTATTATGGGTGGGACCCAGAGACGGGAGTGAAGGGAGGGTGTGGTCTGCGGGTGGGATCTGTAGAGCAGACAAAATATGGGGCCCCCGGCCCTTGAAGTTCAGTGTGTCTCTCTCTCTCCTGAGCTTGGAGAAAGGCATCCGTAGCGCCTCCCCGGGGGACTCGTAGAGCAGAGAAAAGCGACCAGGATAAGAGTGGACAGAGGAATAAGCAAGACTTGTTCTCCATGAAACAGTCCCCTGCCCTCGCTCCGGAAGAGCGCTACCGCACAGCCGGGTCCCCAAAGCCGGTAAGATCCAAGATTCGCTGTCCTGCCCAAGCCAGGTCTGATGGCCTCTTCTTAGTCCCGGTAAATTCAGGGTCAGCCCCTCCCGCCCCCGTCCTCTCCTCCGCCAAATGCCACCTCCTTCCCCTGCCGTCGGTGAGCTCCGGCTCTGACAGTCCCGCGCTCAGCGCCCTGCATCTAGTTCCCAGGGGCACAGCCCTGGTCCCGACCTCCACCCGGGTCGCCCGGCGTCCAAGACCCTCCCAGGGTCATGGGCAGGGTTTCCTTCAAAGTTCGAGTCGGCTCGATCCAGAGACCCCGGTCTCCACGCCGGGGGCGATGCCACCTTTCCGGCAGAGACCCTCCTCTGCACGGTGCCCTCCACGCATCTAGTGGACTTGGCTGCGCACTGTCGGCAGCGGAGGCTGCAGATGGAGCTGTCGGAGCCGGCCACTCCGGGATCTATGGCTTCCTCTCCGCGCCGGCATCGCGGGCGCCCGGTGGCTGGAAAGACTGCGCAGCAGCCTTGCCTGGCCCAGACGTAAGCCCCCTTCCCCAGCTGCGCGCGTCTGGGTCTTGGTCCCTCCACAGTCCCGGCTTGCGCTCGGTACTCCGGCCCCCAGTTGGTGCCTGGGGATCACTCGCCCTTCCTAAGTGCTGGTACCCCAGAACTGGCCCTCTTGCAGAGTGCTGGGAACTCGTAGGTCCCTGCGCATAAACTTTCTCTGGCGTGTACCTGCCTAGGCACAGGAGCGCTGGCCGCCGGGGGGCGCAGGCTCTGCACTGTAGGATTTGGCTGGCTCCGATTCAGTCACGGAACGGGACAGCGTTGCCTCGTTCAGGAGGAGAAAGGGAAGAGTACCACGGACAGTCCCCACTGGCCTGAGTCCCTAAGAAGCGGGTTTAATTTGCGACTGCCCTTCTCCTTCAGTGTCATCAGGGCCCCGGAATCCGCTTGCTACCGCGAGGGTCCCAGCTTCTCCGAAACGGGGACCAACCGGTGACGCTCGCTGCAGGCAGAGAGGGCGAGCTGCGCGGGCGGAAGGGAGGTGGTGTCTTGTCGGATCTTACTGGGACTCAGTTCCCCAGCTCCAGTGGCGGGTGCCCAACTCCTGGTGCTACCCGCTCGGGGCCAGTGGATGGCGGTGTAGGCGCTTTTAGCACGGCTTCCCGTTCCTGGGACCCAGCCCTGGGCGCTCTATGAACTCAGCAGGGAAGCCGCGGGGCTGGGCATTCCCAGGGAACCTGTTTCAGTAATTCATAAAGTGGAGCTTTCCTCCAGCGGGAAACTTCCGAGAACGATGGGCTGCAAAGACTGACTCCTGCACACAACCTCGACGACTGACACTTGCACAACTGTGGCTTCTAGTTTTTATTTATTTTTTATTTAAAGTAACATTGATGGAAGCAAAACTCTGCAAACGAACATCAGACTGCTACCAGAAAGGGGGTGAAGTCAGAACTTACTAGTGAGTATTGTCCAAGGACACATTTAAGCAGATAGTTTGAAATTAAAGATACCACAAAACATTAATTTTGGCGTAACCCTGAGGCAATGAGAAGAAATAATGCATTTATTAAAAGTTGTTAAACCATTTTCTTTTTGTCACAGTCAAAACATTCACTAGCTTGTTTCTGTTATTAGGTTCCCAATAATTTTGTTGTGTGAGACTGTGGTAAAAATTGGTCCTCAGATCCTGGGGCTTGAGAGGCTAGAGGAGGTTCCCCGCGCTTGAGAAGTTAGAGGAGACGTCTGCATAGACTCACATCTGCGCTTGGCTGACCAGTCAGGTTTTCCAAAGCATACCAGAAAGCTTTCCAGGACACCAAGAATTTCAATAGGATGAACTATTTTTAGAATTATTTGGGTGTGGAATCACATCAACCTCAAAACCTCAAGATTCTATAAGCCCTTTTTTAAGGGGAGGGGACTTTTTCCAGAAGGTTCCTTTCAGGGTAGGCTTACAGGACCAATGATGAAAGCCTTTGTTAACCTTCCAGTGGTTAAAGAGGCAAACCGAGAATTGCTCTGTTCACCTCATCAAGTACATACATATTCAGGTTTAGGGACACTATTTTTTAAAAGATGCAAAACTCATTCCTTTAGAAACCTTCCTCAATACTGCAGAAATCGCAATAGCATCATATAGAAGGCAGGCATCAGTGCTTCCACAACTTGCGTTCCACTACCAATTATGGTTTCCTTTTGGGAGAGTCACATTCTCCACCATAGCTTCATGTGGATTTCAGCATTTGCTAGCTCTATTGCCTGGCCAGCCCCTCAGTTGACTCCCCCACCACTGTTGGGGGCAGACAGGTAGTTAAAAGAGAAGCTGAATGGCCCAGGAACTCCAGAGAGTTAGCATAGTCACTTTCCAAAGCCTGTACTTTCAAATCTCCATGCTGTTAATGAGGTACTTCTTTCCTTATTTTTCCTATTTTCCTCTCTTCTAGCTTCTTTCAACACAAAGACTTGAGGTCTTAGGGTTTCTGAGTGTCTCCACCACTGGGTAATAGGAGCTCTCTGAGGACCAGGAGAGCTGTAACGTAGAAATGTTGCTCAGTGTATCTGAGGGGGAAGGTTATTTGACCTGCTACTTCTACCTAATAAGTTATTCAACAAGTACATCCTGTTAGTCCTATAACTATTCTTGACATTCCACTTTGCTGAACCAAATGGAAAATGAGGCTGGCTGGCTAAAGGGTACTGACCTGATACTGGCTGGCTAAACATACAAGGTTCACTCTTAATACTCAAGGGATTCCTAGACTTACCTGTTCCTCAGAGTCTACACATTCACACAAACACACACACACAGACACTTTTTTGTTTTAGGTCTGTTCAGAGAGGGTGGAAATGGTAGACACCTTAAGAGTAAAAGGTGCTATAGATGGCCTGCCTTGGTGGGAAGAGAAGAGCTTTGGTGTCAGACCTCTGACTCTGCCCCTTAAAAACCGCAAGGCTCTGGGCAAGTCAAATTATCTTCTTGCTGGGCCTCAGTTCCCTTGGTCAGAAAATAGAGATGGTATTACTGACCACTGGTAAGAACACTGTGGATTGTGGAATCTGTACTAGAAATACTTTATGTAATAGTGTTATATTCCAATGAAGGTTCCCTAACCTTTTTTTTTTTTAAACTACCTTATTGAAGTATTGGTGAACAAAAACCTATACATATTTAATGTAAACAATAAGTTTGGAAATAAGTATACATCTATACAACCATCATCATAATTAATGTCATAAACCTATCCATCATCTTCAAAAGTTCCCTTCTGCCATCATTATTATTGTTATTATTATTTTGTTATAAGGGCATTTAACATAGGATCTGTCCTCTTAGCAAATTTTTAAGTATAGAATATACTATTGTTAACTACAGAAGCCATGCTGTGTAGTAGGCTTACTATACAGCATGTATTACTGTGTAGCAGGCTCTAGGACTTATTCATCTTGCATTAGTGAAACTTTACACCCTTGGTGCAATACCTCCCCATTTCCTCCTTCTCCAGGAAACCACCATTCCACTCTCTAATTCTATGAGTTTGACTATTTTAAGATTCCTCACTTAAGTGGGATCATCATGTAGTATTTATCCTTCTGTGTCTGGCTTATTTCAAATAGCATAGTGTCCTCTAGGTTCATCTCTTGTCAGAAATGGTAGGATTTCTTTCATTGTTAAGGCCGAGTAATAATCCACTGTGTATATATACATACAATGTATATATACCCCATTTTTCTTTATCCATTCATCCATCAATGGACATTAGGCTGCTTCCCTGTTTTCCAGTTGAGGCAAAATATACAATTGAGGAAAGATATATCTGAGTGAATAATGTTGCAATGTCCATGGGAATGCAGATGTCTTTTCAGGATCCCAATTTCAAATCCCTTATCTGGAAATGGGATCATATGGTAGTTCTATACTGTAGGTTGGTACCATATGCTGGATCATGATAGTTCTATTTTTAATATTTTTGAGGAACTTCCATGCTGTTTCTATAATGGTTGCCCCAATTTACATTCCAATGAACCATATACAAGGGATTCATTTTCTTGGCATCCAACACTTGTTATCTTTTGTTTTTTGATAATAGCCATCCTAACATCTTAATGGTGGCAAAGACATGACATCTCTTTGTGGTTTTGATTTGTAGTTCTCTGATGATTAGTAATGTTGAGCATCTTTTCATATACTTACTGGCCATTTGTATGTCTTCTTTGGAGAAATGTCTATTCAAGTATTTTGCCCATTTTAAAATCAGGTTATTAGCTTTTTGGCTACTGAATTGAAGGATTTACTTATATGTGTTGGATATCAGTCCTTTATCAGATATAAGATTTGCAAATGTTTTCTCCTGCTTTATAGTTGCCTTTTCATTTTGCTGATCAAATCCTTTGCTATGCAGAAGCTTTTTAGTTTAGCGTGATCCCATTTAGTTTTTATTGCTTTTTCTTTTTTGCCTGAACTTTTGGTGTCATATTCAAGAAATTACTGCCAAGGCCAATGTCAAGATTTTGTCTTATGTTTTCTTTTAGGAATTTTATGGTTTCAGGTCTTATGCTTAAGTCTTTAATCCATTTTGACTTGATTTTTGTGCATGGTTTGAGATAGAGGTCCAATTTTATTCTTTTGCATATGGATAACCAGTTTTCCCGGTACCATTTGTTGAAGAAATATCTTTCCCCAATCATATATTCTTGGCACCCTTGTCAACCATGTATGTATGGGTTTATTTCTGTTTTATTGATTAGTTTCATTGGCCATATGGCTGTTTTCATACCAGGACCATACTGTTTTGATTTGTGTAGCTTTGTAATATATTTTGAAGTCAGGAGGTATGATATTGCTAATTTTGTTATTTCTTGTTCATAATTGCTTTGGTGATTTGTTTTCTAATCTGTTTTTAACTTGAGGAACCAGTCTCATCTCAGACTCATGAGGAATATCTCAAGACTTTTTCCACTGGCAGCTTTCTGTGACTCTAGAGCCATGCTATGCAGTGGAGTAGCTGCTAACCAGTTGTGGTTGTTTAAATTTAATCAACATTAAATCAAATTAAAAATGTATTTCTTCAGTCTCCTTGGGCACATTTTAAGTGCTCAGTTATTTTATAAAGCTGGTGGCAACTGCATTGGGCAGCATAGATACATGATCTCCTTCATTGCAGGTTGTTCTCTCAGGTAGTTCTAGAGCTCTCTTTTGCTTGAGTGATGATATAAGAAGGTTTTAGGACGATAAAAGTTTTCCTAGGTCAGGGGTAGTGGCTCATGCCCGTAATCCCAGCACTTTGGGAGGCTCAGGCAGATGGATCAACTGAGGTCAGGAGTTCGAGACCAGCCTGGCCATCATGGCAAAACCCTGTCTCTACTAAAAATACAAAAATATTACCCAAGCATGGTGGTCCTGCCTGTAGTCCCAGCTACTTGGGAGGCTGAAACAAGAGAATCACTTGAACCCGGGAGGAGGAAGCTGCAGTGAGCTGAGATCACACCACTGCACTCCAGCCTGGGCCATAGAGGGAGAAGTTTTCCAGTAAACCACCTTTGTTGGCTTCTTTTTCTTTTAAGAAGTGGTTTTCTATAGCAGAATCACTTCTGTTTTGTTGAGGGTTCTTACATGGCTCAGACATTTGTTGAATGGTAAATGGCTAGATTCATGTAGAAATCACTGACGAGTGAGTGTTAGTCACGTAATCCTGAGTTCTCCCCTTCAGCCTTGATGATTTTGCTTATGTATTGTTCTTTTCCCTCCCTATTAGCTTTACAGCTGATGTTTTTCCTGGTTTTAGAGCAGAAACTGATACAACAGAAGGAGGCTCTGCTCTCTCCATATGCACTTCTACACGTTGTACCATTTTTTACGAGAATGAAAGTAGTACAATACCAAGTTCAGTGTTTGGGGGAAAATCCACCAAGTGTCCTGATTAGTTTTTAATCAGGCTTAAAAACTCATACTCCACCTCACTCTGTAGGACCTCTTCCTGAACTCATCTCCATTTGACAAACTATATATTTTGCTTCCATGGCCTTCCTTGTGTGTGTCAGTGTGTTCTCTTATTATAAAAACATCAGTCATATTGGATTTAGGCTTCACCCTAATCCAGCATGACCTCATCCTATCTACAACTGCAAAGACCCTATATCCAAAGGAAGGACACATTTTGAGGTTTTGGTGGACATAAATCTGGGGGACACTATTAAACTTGTTGCAGATGCATAGGTATGTCAGTCCTTTCCCTACCTGGATTTCTTACTCCATGAAGTATATTCTGTTCCTGAGGCTTTGCTAAATCTGCTTTAGAGCAAGCACAGTAAGTAATATTTATTATTCTCATGGCCAGACAATCATCATGCAGGTTGGGAGATTACATTTAGCTAATAAGTGCATTCTACCTGGATGTGGAAAGCACGGGATGACTCACCTTGGGACTGCTGAATCAGCTGTTCTTCCCCACGCCCATCACT